AGAATGCTATGGTTTGATTGTTCCCTCAAAAATTCATTGAAGCTTAATCCCCAATGTGGCAGTATTGAAAAGTGAGGCTTTTAAAACGTGATAGGGGCTGGGCGTGGTGGCTCACTCCTGTAATCCCAGCACTTTGGGAGGCCGAGGCAGGTGGATCACAAGTTCAAGAGATCAAGACCATCCTGGTCAACATGGTTAAACCCCTTCTCTACTAAAAATACAAAAAAATTAGCTGGGCATGGTGGCGCATGCCTGTAGTCCCAGCTACTCAGGAGGCTGAGGCAGGAGAATTGCTTGAACCCAGGAGGCAGAGGTTGTGGTGAGCGGAGATCGTGCCATTGCACTCCAGCCTGGGTAACAAAAGTGAAACTCCGTCTCAAATAAATAAATAAATAAATAAAAATAAAACGTGATAGGATCATGAGGGCTTTTCCTCACAAATGGAGTAATCCATTCATGGATTAATAGGTTAATGGATTAATGAGTTATCATGGGAGGAGAACTGGTGACTTTATAAGAAAAAGAAGAAAGGCCTGAGTGAGCACACTAGCATGCTAAGCCTGTCATGTGATGCCACAAAGAGTCCCCATCAGCAAGAAGGCCCTCACCAGATGCAGCCCCTCATCCTTAGACTTCTTAGTCTGCATAGCTGTAAGAAATATATTTATTTTTTTATAAATTACTCAGTTTCAGGTATTCTGTTGTAGCAACAAAAAATTGATTAATAAACAAAACGTCGTACATACATTCAAGGAAATACAATTCAGCCTTAAAAAGAAAAAAACTCTGATATATGTTTTAATATTATGTACCTTGAAAATATTATGCTAGGTGAAATAAGCCAGACACAGGACAAATATTGTGACTACTGTGCCACTGGAAAAATGAAGAAAAGAAAAGACTCTCTCTATATTAAAGCAAACCAGGTAAAATAGTCAAATCCATACACAGAAAGTTGAATGGTGGTTGTCATTGGTCTGTGAAATCGATTTAATAGTTTCCATTTGGAGTGATTAAAAAGTTCTGGAGATAGACAGCAGGGATAGTTACAGAGCAATGTGAATGTACTTAATGCCACTGAATTGTGCAATTAAAAGTGGTTAAGATAAAAAATTTTATGGAACACCAGAAGGGAAAATGTATTTCAGAATCAGTTAGGACATGTTGACTTTGAAATGCCTGTGAAACAGTCAAATAGAGATGTCGAGGAGAACATAAACGTAAGAAGCCCCAAAGAGAGTTCATGCCTTGAGATGTATATTTTGAGTCATTAGGATACAGATATTAAAGAACACTCAGAATAGATTCAATCAGCCAGAGGACATCAACGAATATGAGGATCGAAAAGACTAAGACTTGGAATTGGAGCCTAAAAAACACCAACATTCAGGAGGCAGGCTGAGGCAGAGAAACCTGTGAAGAAGAGAGGAAGAAGGAGACAGAAAAGCTGAAGGTAAATCAGGAGGGCGCACAGTATTGAACTCCTGTGAGAGGTCAAGAAAAATAAGGTTTAAAAGTGTTCATCATATGTAGCCCTAAGATGCCTGCTGGTGATCTGGATGAGGAGAGTTTCTGCAGCACTGGTGGGGGAACGCTAGCCTGCCGAATTAACTGAAAGTGTAAATGTGGAGGCAGTCTATGGACAACCCTTGAAACATTTGATTGTAAATGGAAGGAGAAAAGGCAGGATTTGGCCAGCCATGGTGGTTTACACCTGTAATCCTAGCACTTTGGGAGGCCAAGGCAGGTGGATCACCTGAAGTCAGGAGTTCAAGACCAGCCTGGTTAATATGAAAACACCATCTCTACTAAAAATACAAAAAATACCTGGGTGTGGTGGTGGGTACCTATAATCCTAGCTACTCTAGAGGCTGGGGCAGGAGAATCGCTTGAACCTGGGAGGTGGAGGTTGCAGGAGCCAAGACCATGCCACTTCACTCCAGCCTGGGTGGCAGAGCAAAACTCCATCTCAAAAAGAAAAGAAAAGAAAGACAAAGAAAGAAAAGAAAAGGCAGGATTTGGAGGAGAATGTATGGGGTTGAGACGGGCACTTCATTGCAAAGAGCAGAGAAGTTGAAGGTCCAGGGAGAGGGCAGATGGAGCTCTGGTCTGGGCTTTCATCATCAGAGCTGACCCAGTGGAGAAGAAGACCTGGTATATCAGTCAGCATCCTTTGGTTGAAACATACAGAGATGGCAACTGATTTAAGCATAAAAGGGAATGTATTGAAAAACTATGGGGAAAGTTCACAGAATCAAAAATAAGAGTGGAGAACAAGACTCAGCAAAGGACAAAATTTGGCCATGCTGAGAACATGAATAGCAGAAACCATTTTACAAACCTGCCAGGGGACCATCACTGGAATTGGTAGGCTCCACGTGTTTTCGTGTTTTTATCACTTTGCTCATCATTGAAATTCCAACCAATTGTCCTAGGCCATGTACCCCTTGCTTGGGAGTTGAGGGGAGGTGCAGAGTTCCTTGATATCCCACCAGGTTACATTGCATGGGGGACAGGTAATTCCTGGAAAGGGAAGTCAGAGTGCTATTTTTAAAGGATGTGGAGTGGATACAGGACCCCCAGAAAGCAGCACAACCAGAACAGGACTGCAAAAATCAGAAACTGGAGGTTTTACTCTGAGAAAGTCAGAGCAAGGACACTAACCTTGTTTTCTGATACCCTTTCAGCACTTACTCATTCATGTTTTCATTCAGTTAGTGTACCACAGCCCAGAGTGGAGGGAAGTTAATATCCTATGGGGCAACCCTCAGCCACTAAAAGACAGGAGCCAGGGGATAGATGCCCCTTTACCCCCAAGTGATCTGGAGATGCATTTCATCTGGTTTCTCAGATGGGGCAGAACAGCCCTTCACCAATGGAGGTGGCCAGCTTGACAAGGCCTCCTTCCATGGAATTTCCCTCCTGCTTTACTGTGCTCCCCCAGCCTTGCTCCAGCTTTCTGGGATCATGCTTTCCAGTCAAGTACTGTCACATAAACCTCTTGACTTCTGCTTTCTGGAAACACAGACTAGGGTAAAGGCAAGACAAATCAGGAGTGAGAGGGTAGGGTGAGGGAGGTCAGAAAGTGAGCCAAGGGAATTTCTTGGGAAAAATCTTTCCAGCAGAGGGGACAGGTGGAATAAGGCCCTAAGTAGGTCCATGTCTGTGTGTCTGGGGAACAGCACAGAAACCAGGGTTTCTGGCAAAGAGTACGAAAAGATGTCAGTAACGTGGCTGCACCACATCACATTTGGCCTTCCAGGGCTTGGCTTTTACAAAACAAAAAGGGGAGCCCAAGAATGGCAGGATCTGACTTGGGTTAAAAAGACTGCCCTGGCTGCAGGGCTGAGAAAAGATCTGTGTGGGGAATAGGAAACATCCCCCACTGTGGGTTCCCACTTGTGAGAACCAGAACTAGAATTAGATAGTGAAAAAAATTCAAGCCCTTTTGAGGGAGGCTTAAAAGGAAAAAAGTTTTCTTTAAAACGCAGAACTATCCAAAGATGGCACAAGCTGCCTTGGGTGGTAATGCTCTCCTGCCACTAGGGGTGCTCAATACAGGCTGGAAAAAGTCATTGGAAAGTGTGTAAAAATGCTTTATATGAGCTAATACAGGGTGGCACAAAGACAGACTTCAGGATGCTTCATACCATATGAGCATCTAAGCCCTAGAGACCCAGAGAGAATAATGTTCCCCCAAATGTCCCAGCAGAACGCAATTAAACTCTAACAAGCTCCCAATGCAGGGTTCAGGATCCTTCACATGACCCCAATGCTATCATCTCAAAACAAATCAAAAACAAAAACTAGAACAAAAACAAAATGCTGTTCCTGCTTCAAGTACCTTAATATAAACTGATTTGCTTTGGGATATGTAAGTGCAAGACCTAGAAAGAATGAGTGGTGGAGTGAGAAGGAGACTCCAAATATTGTCACAAGCATAATATGCTAGAAATGTGAGGATCTGGCTGGAGATGGCTCAGCTTATTGGTTCATTTATTCATTCAACACATTTTTATTGAACATTTGTTATGCATTCAATAGAGGTGAATAGAATCTATAGAGTCTGTGCTTTTTGGAACTTACAGCCTAGCAGGGATAAGTAATTGTAACAAGTTGTATGAGTGTCCCAGCAAGGGTGGCAGAGCTCAGTGGCAAAGACTCTCAGAGCAGAACACAGCCATGGTGGCAGCAAACGTGCAGGAGCAAGGGAGTGTGAGGAAGAGTGAAATCTCCAGAGCACAGGTTGGGGAGTGTGTAAGGCAGCTAGAGAGAGGGAAGCTGAGCCCCGGTCCTAAAGAATCCAGGGCAAGTTACCAAGGAAGCTCTCAAGGCTCAGTTTTCATAAAACCAGATGTAAAAGAAAGTCTATTCCTCTGTTAGAAGGCATTACGCCAGGCAGCACAGGTCAGTCACCTGGATGTCTTATTGTAATGCAGATTCCAAGGTCCAATTGCCCCCAAATTTTGATCACATTGGTCTAGGGTAGAGGTTAAGTACTTACATTTCTTTAAAATCTCTCCAGAATTTCGAAAGTACATCTAGGGCTGAAAACCTCTGTAGCAAGCAGAGATGTCTGAGAAACCAGAGAGCACCCCCTGCACCCACAGTACTCATTTCTTCATCTAGTCCACATATTCTGAACACCTACTATCTAGGAAGTAAATCAGGACTTGCTAGATAGCAGGTGTTCAGAAAATGTGGGCTAGATGAAGAAATAAACACTCTGTGAATGAAGTAAAGGAAGCCATCACTGTTTACTTGAATTTGAGCCAGGACAGGAGTAAAACTGACCTTTTGCTGATCCCCTGAATGACAGACTTGCATCCCTCCTAACTATGGACAAGAACTGGACCTAGCTAGAGCCTCATGTGGGTGGGGGAAGGGACAAAAAGGAGAGAAGGGGAGACAGGGTGCTGGGATGGAGGGGACCAACAGCTCATTATAGATCAGTGACAGTGGGGGAATCTCAAACACACATTCATGACTACTAAGCCTTATTGAAGATACCCTGTCTTTATTAAAGTGTCCCATGTTTATGTAAGTGACCCCCCCTCCTCCATCACTACAGATGATGGTGACTTTCTATGAAAGAGGAGAGTAGTCAAGTTTTTAACAGAGGTAGGGTAAATGAGGCCCCTCAAAAGTGCAGGGAAGGAGGAGAGGGGATCAAGTTATTAACAGAGTTGGGGTTAATGAAGCCCCTCAAAAGTGCAGCTTGCTGCCTCTCCCCACCAATTCCATTCCAGACCCCCACTGTCAGAAAGTCTTCTCTCCTCCCATCTCAACCCATATTACATCTCACTGTAGAGCCTTGTAAGGTTCTCCCACATATCTGAGCAGTTCCACATGGACAAAACATTTTACATCTTTAACGCCCTCTTTCTTGCTGGAGACACCCCATCCCTGTGGCTTTAGGGGGAAAGCTGATCTTTGACAAGAGGCCTCATTCTTGGCCAATGTGGAAACGCCATTTAACTGTAATTTCAGCAAAGAACCCAGGAGGCCAGGCTCCTGTTCCTGTGTTTTGGCCATCGGTGTTGCTGAGAATCTGCTAGACTTGGCCCCTGAACTCTGAAGATCCTCCATTATAACGCTTCCCAGGGATTTTTTGCTTTGCTTCTAAAACTCTGTCTTCTAAACCTCCCCTAAATTATCTGCCAGTTCATACGCCATGGGTGAGAAGCCTAGCTCTATGGGACCCCACCCCAACCACCATCTTTCAGCCAGGCAGACCCCAGCATTCACCCTGAGTGGAAAGAAGCTGGAATCTGAGAAACAAAAGCAAGAGACGCTGTGTACCCAACAGCAAAGGAACAGCCTGGTCTCCCACCTCTTGCCCTTCAAGGGAAAGCCCTGCTGCATATGTGAAGGCAGAATCATGGACAAGGCTCACAGGGTGGGCAAAGAAGCTAATTTAAGGCTGCAGCTAGAGAATGTGGGGAATCATGAGGGGTAGGGGTGCAGGACTATCAGGGGCAAGATCAAGCTCATTACTGTGGAAAACCCTTTGGAGATCACCCAGTCCTCTCATTTTCAAACTTTTCAAAAGTAGTTAAACTTTTTTTTGTACAAACATCTTGAATGGAACTCCATCTAAAGTAAAGCTGTTCTGATTGAAGCAAGAGGAGGAGGCAGGAGGTGGAGGATGAGTTGAAGACACCCACTTGCTTAGTCTACTTTCCCAATCCAAAAGGCCCTGAGGCACCTAAGCAGAACTTTGGGGTCCTGGGTTTCACTACGATAAACCAGTGATCTTGCCCAAACCGTTAGTTTTATAAAAGGCAAAACTGTATAATTTGTCCAAGATCTCCACTGAGTCAGTGGCATCACCAGCGCTAGAAGTGGACACTACTCCCAATCCAGGTTTCTCCTCTACCTTCCCATCAGCTAACTGGCACCCTCGACAGGCTCTGGGCCCACCCAGGGAATCTTAGACGGAGCTACGAAAGGAGAACTGCAGGTAGATGATCAACAGCAGGACTGTGGCCCAAAACAAGCACCAGGGGAGAGAGCAGAAGTTCCAGGCTGAGCCCGTCTCCTCCTGCGGCTTGGCGGGGCTGGGCGCCCGGGAGAAGGTGTAGGTGGTTGCCTCCTCCTCCAGCAGCTTCTCGCTGGGCTTCCAGTGCACGATGCCCTCCTGGCAGGCCTCGCAGAACTCCCCGCGGTGCCGCCGGTTGTCCTGGCGGCTGGCCACGTGGATGCGGTACTGGCCGCCGCGCTCCCCATAGCACTGCTCGCGCAGGCTGGTGATGAGGTTGTCCACCAGGCCCTCGATGTTCTCCTCCAGCATGCTGGACTCGTCCAGCCGCGCCGTGCCGCACTCATAGCACAGCTGCTTGAAGACGCGCATACGCACCGAGCCAGCCCGCTGGGCGCGGTCCAGGAACATGTGGAAGAGGATGACCAGGTGGGGCGACTGCCAGGTGTGCCAGCACCAGGAGCAGTGGAACCTGCGGAAATGGGAGGAGAGGGAGGAATAGAAGACGGGTGGAGGTGGTGGAAACAGCCCCAGGAATGGGGTGAGGGGACCTGGGGACTAAGCAGAGCCTGGAGGTAGAGGCAGTGTTGCCGGTGCCCTGGGTTCATTAGCTTTCCCCAGGAAGCCCCTCAGCCTGGCGAGTGCCTCTAGAACCAAAGCAGGCTCCTCAGAATGCCACCTGGCATCCAGCAGTGCTCTACCTCCTCAGTGCTTTCCAGAGGCCTCAACTCCCTCCACCGGAGTGCTGGGCATCATTCCCATTCCTCATCTGCAAACTGCACATGGTACACTAGGTGAGTCCTTCCTGCTCACACCAGACAAGAAACTCATAATCCATTTGCACATTTCTATCTGTTAACACTGCCTGTGAACAGGCTGGATCCAAATCAGGAGAAAATGACACCATTACTAGCTGTCAGCGTCCAGGCCAGTGCCAGAGTTGATTCATCACAAGGCCTGGAGGTGGAGGCAGTCTGTGCCCAGAGCCCCAAGGGCTGTAGTCTCCCAGGCCTGACAGGGGCCAGCTGGGGATCACAGGCCCACAGCCAGGTCTGGGGAAGCCACAAGCCCTCCCTAGTCAGCCCTGACAGCCTTCCAGGTCTTCGAGAAGCTCCTGAGTCCCACCCGTACATGTCCAGCCCTTGACACCCCTCCTGTCAGCCAATTTAGGAGCTTCACATTTTTATTCTCTTCTGTTCACTCACATCTTTTGGGAATTGTTTCTTCCTCTCAGATCAGACTACAAAACCTGATTGAAAAATGTCTTAACTGGAGGGACCTGGAAATCATCTACTTAATCTTTTGTTTTATGCTGAGACAGAGAGTGAGAGAGGCATCCATGTACACACAGCTAGAGGCAGAGCCGGTGCCCAGCATGTAACAGGTGCCCAGTAATGTTTCCTGAATTGACGAAGTGAATTGACTGAATCAGAGCAGGCAGGAAGGTCTTGCTTCTGACTCCGAGGCTGCACCTCTCAGCCTCCCCATCCTATGTCCCAAGGGTAAGCCCGTACACTCTGGACCCATGAACAAGAGTGCTAGAAAATCATCTCAGAAGGTTTCTACATGCTAATCACCTGGAACTCTTCTTAAAATCAGATTGTGATTCAGGTCTAAAAGGGGCCCAAGAGCCTGCCTTCCTAACAAGTTCCAGGTGACGCTGACGCTGACGCTGCTCTGTGGACCAGAGGCTAACCTCTCACTGTGCAAATGGAGAAAGCCAGGTCCAAGAAGAAAATCAAATTCCTCAAGGGCCGTGGAGCCAACAGTAGAGCCAGCTTCCGGCACACCTCATGTATTCAATATTTGAAATGAAACTACGTCGAGTTAAATAGATTTAAACTGGTCCCAGGACCAGAGCACAGACCTCTCAACCTCCAGTGAGCCTTACACCCTCCTTCTCTGGTTTTAAACTACTTTTTAAGAGATTGTTAAAATAGAAAATATGTAAAATTTCAGTGTGTAGGACTAATAAATACATTCTATGTCTTTATTTTCCAGATGAAAAAATTATGACTCAGAGAGAAAGAGTAACACAGGTGATCAGTGAAAGAGCTGGAACCAAACTCAAATATCCTAGTTGCCAGGGAGGGACTCTTTCTCTGACTTCCAGTCTACGCCAGCCTAATAGTGAGATTGAAGCTAAACACTTGGGTTCTATGTAATCTTCTCCTTGGAAGGTGCCCCAGGGCTAGAGACCTAGAGGCTGCCCGCAGGGTTCCTACTTCCTGGGCTACTCACCTGCCTGAAGCATGCACCTCCAGGTACTGCTTCCAACCAGGGCCCAGCACATTGTGCTTGAGGTTGGGGTCTATGATGAGGTCCCAGCTGTCAGCCGGCTTTGCCTCCTCCATCTTCTCATAGAAGATTTTCTTCCACTCTTCTGTGGTCACGCTTTTACACATGGTCTCGTCAGTAGTGAGGGTGGGCAATTTCCACCTTAGTGAGAACACAGAGAGTGAGGGTAGGTGCAGGGCAGGGCAGCGCAGTCTCCACGGTCTAAAAATCCTCATCGACAGGACCAGGAGGAAGCAGGACCCAGCTCCCTCCTTTGTCCGCAGTGGAACCTGTTTCCACGGCAACCAGGCAGGGCGCCAGAAGACAGAGCTTGGAAGGAGGGAGTCTCCGAAGAGGTGTTTCAAGGCCCTGAACTGAGATTGCAGAGGAAGAGTTTGTGTGTCTAAGCAATCCAAGACAGGGTGGAGGACCTGACCAAAGGTTGAGCTTCAGACCATCTCACCCTGGCCTGCAAAGGGTATGGGGAGGTGAGGACTTGGGAGCTGGCTCAGTTTCACCTTGCTGCCCCCTGGAGACATCATCAGCATCTGGCTGCTATGGTAACCATGATGCCTTAGGGAGCCAAGAAGAAATAGGGATGGGGAGATGTAAATGTGTTAATAGACGGAGCAATAATAAGAAAAGCTCCCTTGGCTTCCCCAGCCATCTTGGGATTAGCACTTTGCCATTTTCAAAACACAATTGGAGGTCTCTTAAGCTACGATTACTATTGCCGCAGTACAGATCAGGAGCCTAAGACTCCCCTAGCCTATAATTGGCAGAACCTGTATACAAATTCACACTGTTGACCCCAGACCAGTTCATTCATTCATTCATTTAAAACATATCCAGGCATGTAGGTAGGGTTTGCAGACATGTGCCAGGCTTTATGTCAGTGCTTGTAGCTGACTATGTACCCAATAAATGTGCAATAGGACCCAGGCTGTAATGGCCTTATATAAGACCAGCCACCTGTGCACAAAGGAAGGAGCCATTGCGTCAGCAGGGCAGGAGTAGACAAAATTATTTACAAGCTAATTATAGAAGTGCGGAAGAGGAGCACCATCCAGAGGCAAAACAGTCTTTACTATACATGCCTCTTCTGCTATTTTTAATAAATTATTTTTCTTTTTAAAAGGTCATATGTGTTTATTCTAGAAAAATTATAAAATATAGATTAAAGAAAAGAGAAGTAAGACTCTTCCATAATACTGCACCCAAGATGACTACTGTTAACATGATATGTACATCTTGCTTACCATTTTCGTACATGTACATGTGTATCTGTGTGTGTAAATACGCACATATTCTACATACCACAGGCATTCTACATACCACATTGTAACATTTTTAAAAAACATATCATGAATATTTTTCTAGGTCATATTCCATAGTAGTATATTATGGGCTACCTATATTCTGTTATATGGACAGGCATAATTTATTTAGCCCATCCTTATTTGAGGGCATTTTGGTTTTATTTCAGTTTCTTACATTACACTCTTGACACCTATTTGTATAAAACTTGTTGACGAAGCTCATTGCAAGCATTAGAGACAACACTTCCTACAACTGGAAAACACATTTCTTCACTCCACTCTCTGCAAAAGCTTGGTGTAGCTAGCAGAATCTGAGCAGGCTCTTCACACAGTATGAATTGTGGACAGCCAGCCGATCTTGAAGTTTAGTGATGAAAAGGAAGGACCTAAAACTCACCCATCTGATACCAGAAATCATCTTCCAAGTGCTCCTCCTGCCACTTCATAAATGTTTGATGCCTTCATTTACATTATTTTAACCTCAGTTTATTCATCTTCTCAGTGGGATAATAATAACAGTATCTGCAGTGATTAAAAGCAGGGGCTCTAGAATGACTTGCCTGGTTGCTTTTTGTTTGCTTTTTGTTTGTTTGTTTGTTTTTTTGAGACACAGTCTCTGTTGCCCAAGCTGGAGTACAATGGCATGATCTCAGCTCACTTCAACCTCCACCTCCCGAGTTCAAGCAATTCCCCTGCCTCAGCCACCAAGTAGCTGGGATTTCAGGTGTGTGCCACCACACCCAGCTAATTTTAGTAGAGATGGGGTTTCACCATGTTGGCCAGGCTGGTCCTAAACTCCTGACCTCAGGTGATCCGCCCGCCTCAGTCTGCCAAAGTGCTAGGATAACAGGTGTGAGCCACTGCGCCTGGCCGCATTTTTTTTTTTTTTTTTAATTTCCATATGGCCTCATAGGTAGCAATTCTAACATATGTGATCTACATCTTTCCATCCTAGTAAAAACAGATGTGAATGTTTTATGTGAATATATTTTTAATTTTCACAGTAACAGCAACCACTTTATAGCAATCACTATACAGCACTTACCTGGTAAGTGCTTAGAACGCATTGTTCTAGTGCTTTATAAATATTAACTTATTTCATTCAATAACAACCTTGACAGGTAGGTGATATCAGCAGCAGCTCCATTTTACAGATACATAAGCTAAAGTCTAGAGGTTAGATAACTTGCTCAGGATTTAACAGCTAAAAATTAGTTGAACATAAACTTGAACCTATATGACTGTCTACAAAGCCCCAGCTTTCGCCATTGTGATGCTCAGCATGGGATCTAGAACATAACATCTGCTAATTAAATGTGAGTTTCTTCATCATTCGCATGGCCACTCCAGACCCCAAGAATTTCAAATGAAGTTTATATCATTTCAGCAAATGGTTCACTGGGCCACGCTGAAGCCACATCTCCCCAGAAGAGGAGTGAGTTGTGCTTGACCCACCAGGCTCCCTGCTACTGCTGGGGATGCTGCCTCAGCTGCCAAACTTAATGAAGCAATGGTCTCCACAGAGCCCTGATACTCAGTGTAAATATTTTAGAGCTGAGAGAGACATTTAGCTTGAAATCTTACTAAAGAAAATATAGTACAGAAAGTCATCTCCAGGCACAGCAACCCTGTAGAGCCTCAATCATTTGAAGCCAGGGATCTTGGCTCAATGGAAAGAGCACTGAAGTGGGAGTCAGGAGAGTCATAGCCCAGCTCTGCTCCTGGCTGGCTCTATGACCTTGGGCAAGTCACTAATTTCTCTTGGCCTCAGATTGTCCATCTGTTCAATGAAGAATTAGGGCAGATGACAAAGATAAGGTCCCCTCTGACTATAGTCATATATGGTTTTAAATAGCTTTATACTTAGAAAACTGAATCCTGGGAGGGCAGGAGGTATGATGGAGGCCACCGGATGGAAGAGGGAAGCTTCTTTCGTCTAAAAAAAAACCTTAGAAAATTTATTTAGAAAGTAGAAAATAAAAAGTATGACTCTAACATCTATTTAGATTGTGAACAAAATTAGAAACAGTTAAACTACAGAAAAAAAAGGCAGAGATAGTGAAGTTAACTTAATGGCTATCCAATACAAACAAGCAAAATCCAAGTTACTTTCATGCAAATAAGCATTGAGGAAAAGAATATGGGAATGTTTACAGAATGAACCATGGCAAATATTTTTCAAATTTACATAAGAAACTACATAAATGAAAAAATAATGTACAAGAAATGTTTTACAGCTTACAATAGGCTATAACTTAGTTTATCATGAAAAAAATTTGTAGGACATCATACATTTTACATCACAGATACAGCGTTAAAAGAATTTAGACATCGTAAAGCTTAGACTTGACAAGAATAATGTAACAGAATAGGGCAACTAAAACTGAAATGGCACGTGTAAGTAAAACTCATCCCCAACTTAAAGGACTCCTTAGCTTGGTACATAATAACATATTCTGAGTATGATTTGGTTAATGACTGGGCATTAAGATAAATATCACTTAATTTTAGTTAAAAAGTCAGTTTTAGCTGTAGTTGAAATTAAAAGTCAAAGCACACAGTGTATAAAAAATAATAAAAACCACCTGACTATCACTTACATCCTAACACTATTAATTATATTCGTGATAAGCAGACTAGGATATTGATGTTACTTCTACAAAGTTGCCTTCTATTTCTAAATGCTGTAAACTAAACTAAAACAGGTTCCTCAGAAAAGAAATGGCAAATTCCAAAATGGCTTAACACCTGTGACAACGATTGACTGAGCTAGGTATGACATCGATGAAATTGAGACATACAATGTAAAGTTGAAATAATCCCAAATTATTTTACATTATTTATGTATTCTCTACAAATTATGCAAACATAGAAATGTTTTCTTGGAATGCTTTTGGAACTGCAAGCACTGCAATGTATGAAAGAAAGAGGTTTAGAAATTTGAAACTTTAATAATAATATCCTACAATTGAATTAGTTGCATATTTATACCATTCAAAATCTTAATTTTAGCCTCATTCACTCCTTTGACAAATAAAGGAAGAGGGAAGCTTCTAAAGGGGCATGGCAGGTGGTGCCTGGAGCCATGCTCTGTCTCCTGGGGCCTGCTACATAGCTGAAGATCTCTGGGGAGGTGCCACTCTGCTAGATTTGTACTGAACATAGCAAGAAGGACAGAAATTAAATATATAGAGCCTCTGAACATTAACACTGGGAAGCCTTTTTTTATAGAGAGATGGGGTCTCGCTATGTTGCCTAGGCTGGTCTCAAACTCCTGGGCTCAAGCAATCCTCCTGCCTTAGCCTCCCAAAGTGCTGGGATCACAGGCATGAGCCACCTCACCTGGCCGGCACTGGGGAAAACTTCAGTTCTTCAGGACCCTTCGTTAAGCTTTTAGTCCTTCAAGTCAGTATTCATGCCTCTGAATTAAGGCAGTCGACACCTAAATAAATAAACTAATTTAACTAACCTCACAGATACGATGGAAGCTGCCTCAGGTGGGAGCTACTGGCCAAAATGAGAATGAGGACTTTGGACCTTCCCAAAAAAGTACGCAAAGCTGAGAGGTGCTTATAACGAAGAGTGCTACCCAGAAGAAACCCTCTAGAACTATGTTGCCGTTGTGGCTACAATAAACACTATGATGACAGAACACAGAAAGTAAGAATTACCAGAGGGACGTGTGTGAGTGTGTGTGTGTGTGTGTGTGTGTGTGTGTAACCAGCTGATGCAATCCCCATTGGCACAAATAAGGTTTTATTTAGAACCTGAGGTTGCTATGCAGAGGCCAATATAATGCATCTTTCTAGATAGCAAAGTATTTTCTCTAATAAAAATTTCTATCAAGACAGGAAAAAGCAAAGCACTGTGGTATTGCAACTTACTCTCTATCGGAATAACCTCTAATGCCATGAAATCCGCACTTTGGAGAATGCCAATTCAGACATTTCTAAAGCTGCTGGCCTCACCCTGGCCAATTTCTTAAAGTCTGTGATCATGTTTTAAGTGTATAAAATGGTTTAAACTAAATTCTCAACTAGAAAATAGAGTGATGAAAAG